TTCTTTTAATTTTTTTTTAATTGTATTTTATTTATTTGCTTATGTTTATTTATTCATTCATTATTAGTTAAATATTCTTTTAATCGTCTATTTGTTTGTTTATTATTTATTCATTCATATTTATTTATAGTAATTATTAGCATTCATTCATTTTTATGTATTATTTTAATTATCTGTTAATTTGTTTATTTTTATTTAATATTTATTTATTCAATCATAGTTGTTTGTTTGTTTGAGGAATTATTAGTATTTTGTTTATTCATTCATTTATTAGTTATATATGATTATTAGTTATGTACTCTTTTAATGGTCTGTTTGTTTGTTTATTAGTTATTTATTCATTCATTCATGGGTATTAATTTTAGTAATTATTAATATCCATTCATTCATTCTTAGTTATGTATTCTTTTAATTATTTGTTTGTTTATTTATTAATACATTTTTATTTATTATTTACTTATTAATTCATAGGTATTTATTTATGCATTTAATTGTTTATTTATTCATGTATTTTAGGAATTATTAGCATTCATTCATTCAGTCAGTCATATATGCATTTTTAGTTGTTTGTTTGTTTGTTTATTTGTATTTATTATTTATTCATAGTTGGTTATTTATTTTTAGTAATTATTAGTATTCATTCATTCAGTTATGTATTCTTTTAATTATCTGTTTGTTTGTTTATTCATTCATAGTTTTTAATTTATTTATTTTAGGAATTATTAGTATTCATTCATTCAGTTATGTATTCTTTTAATTATCTGTTTGTTTGTTTATTCATTCATAGTTTTTAATTTATTTATTTTAGGAATATTAGTATTCATTCATTCAGTTATGTATTCTTTTAATTATCTGTTTGTTTGTTTGTTTGTTTATTCATTCATAGTTTTTAATTTATTTATTTTAGGAATATTAGTATTCATTGATTCATCCATAATTAGCCATGTATTCTTTTAATTGTCTGTTTATTTATTAGCTATTCATTCATAGGTATTTATTTTAATAATTCTTAGTATTCATTCATTCATTCTTAGTTATGGATTAATTTAATTATATGTTTGTTTGTTTGTTTTTATTGTTTGTTTATTCATTCATACTTATTAATTTATGCATTTAATTGTTTATTGTAGGAATTATTAGTATTTATTTATTCATTCATACATTTTTAGCTATGTATTCTTTTAGTTGTTTGTTTGTTTATTTACATTTATTATTTATTATTCATAGTTATTTATTTATTTAATTGTTATATGTTATTAATTAGGCTATCAGAATTGTATTTTTTATTCATTCACTTATGTATTCTTTTAGTTATTTATTTATTTGTTTGTTTATTAATTACTTATTTATTTGTATTTATTTATTGCAATAACACTTGGTGATGCTGGTGGTACAGATATTACACAGTTCAGCTTTAATTGCTTAAATGAAGGACTTTTAACTGCGTTATTTACATCTAAATTATATTGATAAATAAAAGAGAGCTAATTCCTTTTGAAGTGACGTTATTTATTATTAATCTGCTCAACAGGAGGGGACCAAGGCGTTCTGAACGGCTTCTTCAGCGACTGGGCAACAGCCGACATCAACAAACACCTTCCTTTCATCTATAACATGAGCAGCATAGCCATCTACACGTACCTTCCTGCGTTTAAACAGTGAGTGTGACTCTGACTCCAGCAGCGTGCGCTGGCCAGTAACAGGATACACACACGAGTCACATGAAGGCTGCTCATGCCGTAACATCGGGTTACACGAGCTGAGGAAGAAGAGTGTGAGACAAAATCATCCGAGGGGACACTCGCGCTAATTTCATAAGGCTTCCAGTAATAGTGTGCATGGTGTTCTCACTTCAGGTTTACACCACACTGTGTAGATTTTAACTCACAGAAAATGTCAGAGCAGATTTTCAGTCGGGACTTTTAACCAGTTAAATCCTGAAGTATGACTTGCAATAAACACATTTGAAATGCATTCGCATACCTTATGTTGCCTGCTATTTTTCAGGAATGCATGCTGAAAATGTCTTTCTGTCCACAGATATGGTGCAAATGCGAAGGTTGTGCACTTCCTGGGCCAGATGAAGCCGTGGAGCTACACGTATAACCCCACGCAGAGGGGAGTGAGAGGAGACGCGCAGGCCTCGTCTCAGCCCGGCCTCCTGCTGCAGTGGTGGGCTCTGTACAGCGCCGAGGTGGTGCCCATGCTGATCCGAGAGTATGGAGACCAGCCCTTCAACTCCGGATGTGAGGTCAGGCCTAAACATACAGAACAAGAAAATAACCATGTCCATGAGTCTACATGGCATACTTGCACTACATGCTAAGCATTGTTAACTTTAATAAGATACATTATTCACACACACACACACAAAAATCTTGCATTTGCATGTTAGCGTCTACAGTAGCAAAAGCCACAACAATATTCAGTGACATTGTGATTTTACAGTTATTTGTGATTTACTGGAAAAAAAAAAGAAATAAATACAAATTAATTAATCTATTAAAAAAAAAAAAACTAATCACAATTTCTGCCTGGTGTAACAGGATACACACACGAGTCACATGAAGGCTGCTCATGCCGTAACATCGGGTTACACGAGCTGAGGAAGAAGAGTGTGAGACAAAATCATCCGAGGTGATCCACCACACTGTGTAGATTTTAACTCACAGAAAATGTCAGAGCAGATTTTCAGTCGGGACTTTTAACCAGTTAAATCCTGAAGTATGACTTGCAATAAACACATTTGAAATGCATTCGCATACCTTATGTCGCCTGCTATTTTTCAGGAATGCATGCTGAAAATGTCTTTCGGTCCACAGATATGGTGCAAATGCGAAGGTTGTGCACTTCCTGGGCCAGATGAAGCCGTGGAGCTACACGTATAACCCCACGCAGAGGGGAGTGAGAGGAGACGCGCAGGCCTCGTCTCAGCCCGGCCTCCTGCTGCAGTGGTGGGCTCTGTACAGCGCCGAGGTGCTGCCCATGCTGATCCGAGAGTATGGAGACCAGCCCTTCAACTCCGGATGTGAGGTCAGGCCTAAACATACAGAACAAGAAAATAACCATGTCCATGAGTCTACATGGCATACTTGCACTACATGCTAAGCATTGTTAACTTTAATAAGATACATTATTCACACACACACACACAAAAATCTTGCATTTGCATGTTAGCGTCTACAGTAGCAAAAGCCACAACAATATTCAGTGACATTGTGATTTTACAGTTATTTGTGATTTACTGGAAAAAAAAAAGAAATAAATACAAATTAATTAATCTATTAAAAAAAAAAAAACTAATCACAATTTCTGCCTGGTATTTTATTAGAGCTTGGAATAACTGTTATTTATCAAATTAAAATACATTTTTTAATTGATTTTATTTGAAATTTTATAATGTTATTTATTTGATATATTTATTATGTATTTACATTAATTTTACATAAATCACACTTTTAAAACTAGTTTCTCTCATATATCCAGATTCTGAGTTTTAAATATATTTATATATTTGCTCAATTTAAATGACTTTTCCATTTCTAGAAATCAGACTTTTAAAACTAGTTCATCTAATTTTTTCAAGTTTTATAAAATAAAGATAATGATGATGATGATGATAATACTCATTATCAATAGTAATCATAATAATTACATTATCTACTTTCATCTCAATGAGTTTTGGTAGAGCTTGACATGACTATAAAAATATAAATATATAAAACTGATATTAAAATGAATTTTTATTTTAAAAAACATCTTCCACAGCAATAGTTAAACACCCCGTGACCTTTGCATTTGTCTGCGGTTTATAAAAAGAAATAAATTACTACCCTCTTTGTTTTTTTGTTTTTTTGAGCTTGGCATAATTTGAAAAATGTCATTTTACATATGTATTTAAATTTAATTGATATATTTATTACTAATTCACATTTTTTCCAGGTCTAGAAATGACACAAAATTAGTCAGCCTCATACAATATATCCATGTTTTTCAAGACTGTGCGAATCCTGTTTTTTTTTTTTTTTTCAAACTGCACAGAACTGAAAGATGACTGAATGTCATGTTTGTAATCAGCTGTATTGTTCTCTCGTTCACAGGAGGATGCTGCGGAGAGCGAGGAGCGTGTTCAGCCGCTCGTGTCCTCAGCGGAGCGCAAGCAGAGGTGGGAGCAGGGCCAGGCCGACTACATGGGAATAGACTCTTTTGACAACATTCAGAAAAAGCTTGACGTTTTCCTGAAATAAAAAGAACAGAAGTTTGAGAGGGTATTCAGCTATGCAAGACTGTCACACTGTGGCCCGCTAACACGTCACACTCTTTGTCTTCTTCATTCAAGCATTTAATGCTAACTTTACCTTTGAACCTCATGCAAAACGTGAATTCTAGCAGTGCTTGGCAATTTTAATAGATAAAGGCAGTTGTGGGCCAGCTTTCTCTATCACTTGCTCAAAGTTTCCATGTTTGGAATGCACTTTCAGTCATTTTTCTGGACTTATACTGACACCTAGAGGTGTGGATTCCTGAACATACAATATGCCAATGTACGAATGCTCAATTTATAGTGATAAATATATGTGACCCTGGACCACAAAAGCAGTCTTAAGTCGCTGGGGTATATTTGTAGCAATAGCCAAAAATGTCCAGGGTCACACATACAATTTACATACAAAAGTCCAGTATTGGGGTTCCTGAGTAACCCAGCTACTACTCTTAGTGTTGAGGAGACATGTTCAATGTACATAAAACAGCTTTTATGAGTCTACTGGTGTAACTGGACTGAGTTTTATCTCACATGTACATGATTTTAAACAGTTAAACAGTCATTTTCATTTCTTTAGGGATGACTGCTTTTTTACGGAGGAAAAAAAGGAAGTGGACTGTTGCTCTTGCTCTTGGCTCCGCCCCTCAAATGCATTCGCTGTTTTTAATAGGTAAGCGTCCTGTAACTTGCGTATATTTGCATAATTCATGAGACGTGGTTCTATGGCCCCGCCTCCGCCATAGTTGTCAACAGTCAGTTCAAGATGGCTGCGCTGCCGATGGTGAGGGTTGCGCTGCTCATCGCGTTTTCGGTGTTTCTGACGCTCACCCTGGGCTTCGGCTTGCCGTCTGTGCTCAACCTCTTCGCGCGATGCTGCGGCTTCCCGGAGGCGAGCGTCACCGAGAGCATAGTGCTGCTGTACGCGCTGTTCGTGCTGTACGTGGCCATGCCGCGTCTGCCCCGCGGGACAGTGAAGGTAACGGTACAGTGAGCAACTTACACATCAACAAAAACTAACGGCATTTCATGTGGCGTATAACGTTACGATATTATATGAGATTTTATTGTCGGGCTGAAAATCTGTTTTTCACTCTCATAAACATTGCACATTATATCTTACTCTCAAACACTATGTTACAATCCTACAGCACCTTAAGTTAGTGTACTTTTGATTTTTGATTAAGTGTCTTATTCAATTACATCATGCACAAAAAAAAAAAGTGTATTTTTGTCCATTTTATTGAATTCTGTAAACTTGTACCTCCAGTTTGGTTGTAATGCAAGTTCATTGTGCAGGACATAACGTTATGTATTATTACCATGCAATAAGTGGTACATTATGCAATGTGTGTATGTATGAGTGGGTGCCTGCAATGAAATATATTAATAATTAACTATCTTTGCCTTATATAAGGCAAAGATAGTTAATTATTAATATATTTCAACTTATTACTCATAAGTTATATAGAGTCCTAGTGATGAGTGATATCAATTTCTGTGCTTTTTTGCATTTATTTATTTATTTATTTTTAATAATGCACATTTATTGTAATATTACCATTATTATTACCATAAAACCGGAGGTACAAGGTTCCAAGATTACATATATCCAATGCATCTGTGGTATAAATGGTGCATGATGCAATGTGTAGGTGTACCACGAAATATATAAATAATTATTTTTGCCTTATATGGGGGCAAAGATAATTATAGAGCCCTCGTGATGAGCGATATGAATTTTTTTTTTATATATATATATATAGATGCAATGCATTTTGTATTTCAATGCTCATGGACTTGCATGGTCATGAAAAGTGTAGATATATCAGAATTTTATAGGTTGCGAATTTATGAAAATTAATGACATACTTAAAAGTCCCAGGAAATGTAGTGCTTTTTTAATTCTAGTTTTTTTTAATCAGTTAGAAATTGGTCTCAGTGCATGCAATTTCTACACAATTTCTATTTTTGTATTATTGTAAATACTTTATTTTATTGAAATACTAACCAATAAATGGTGATTGTTGAGCTGCAGTTTATTGGTTATTGTTGTTTGTTTATTTGGATCCCCATTAGTCTTACAAATAAATAAAAAATAACAACAACACAATTTCACATCACAAAACTATACATCTCCAAATTGCAGTTGACCAAACGCCGACAGAAACTAACTTTTCCATATATATTTATTATATATTATGTTTTTTATTAGCCATTATCGTTTAATTTAGCTGATTCTTGCATCAATTACTTATTAATTAGTTTCAAATCACAGTTTGAAAACCACTGATTTCGTAACACATTTTAAGAATTGCAGCTCAGTTGAGGACCGTTTTCTTCTTGGCAGGACAGTGAATTGTTGGCACATTCGCTTGCAGTTGCACAATAGTAATATTGCATAATGTTTCCTTTGTAGGTTGCAGGGAAAGCTGTGCTCGTTACCGGCTGTGACACTGGATTTGGACTGGCTTTGGCCAAGCACTTTCACAAGCTTGGTTTCACGGTGTTTGCAGGTTGTCTGTTTAAGGTAATGGTTCAACTATTCCTGCAGTTGATTTCTGAACATATATACTGTTGGTCGGAAGTCAAGGGAGCTTTAGATGATGCAATATGTTGCACAAGATTCAGTTGGGCTTGTGTCAAACCTTTTCATAATTCTAGAACCATGACCAAATGGACATATCACAGTTATGTATATATTATGATATAGTTCTTTGTGGCTGGAAAGTCTTGAAGTTGTACTACATTTTTTGATAATACAGAAACTAAACTCAGGTTAGGGCTAACCCTAACCCATTCAAGTATACAGTGCAAATGCCTCTGTGTGTGCGGAGTGTGTGATGTTATGGCGGTTTACTCCGTGTGTTTCGTGTGTGGTTGAAGGACGGAGAAGGTGCAAAGGAGCTGGAGAGCCTTCATTCAGAGAAGCTGAAGGTGGTGCAGCTGGACGTCTGCAGCGAGGAGCAGGTCTCTCAGGCGGTTCAGTTTGTGACCGCTAACCTGGACGAGCCAGAGAAAGGTGAGGGCTGTCTGTCAGTTTGTAGAGGCTCATACAGGATGGGGAGTTCAAAGGTCATTCAGGAAGACCAGACCACCATGATGGAAAATGAGGACATTGCAGTGCAGAGTGATTTTAGTATTATTTATACACTGTTAAAAGGAACACTCCACTATTTTTGAAAATAGGCTCATTTTCCAACTCCCCTAGATATATAATTGATCTAGGTTTTTTTTCCAACATCAGAGCAGAATGACTTTGTATGATGTGTTAAAAATTGTGCATGTAAAACATTCATATCTTCACTTTGGCATCTCTATTTTGTTGCATTTTTTTTTTTTTTAATAGACCTGATAAAATTTATGCTGTTATTTTCCACATGTGATTTTTAGGTGTAAACAGTGGTTCCTACAGATGTAAACCGTGATGAACAATAATTAATCTGAAGGTCAGGTAGGTGTGGCTAGATTAAAGTTTATTTGTTTAGAGAGAATAATGACCCCGCCCCCTGCTGTCAATCACTGTGCCACACCCCTCACTAAACCACACCCACCAGATACAGCTGTATAGATTAATGATTGTTCATCACTCTTTATACCTGCTATAAACCATACGAATTGCTGATCTATGTGTTACAGATCAAACAGAAAATAAGCAGCATACATTTCCTTAAAAATATGGCACACTGTAAAACAGTTGAATAGTTTACAAAACGCACTACTATTTATTGAATTGAACTCAGAACTGAATCTGTTTGATCCTTGTGCCATCTCCTTGATTTAAACACTCGAATATGATAAAAAATAAAAATAAAAAAAAATCTAAACTGGAGCTTCTTCTAAACTAATCACCTAAGAATCACTTAGCAGTTGTGTGGAGTCTGGCACTGAATTTTAGAGGTTCAATAATAAATGATAAATCATGAATGTTATTGTTCAAAATACAAGAAAGTTGTCTTACAAATTTTTGGGGGTCAGGGGTTTTCAAACTGGGGCTCAGGGACCTCATGAGGCCACAGGAGGGCGATAGGGGGTCTGAGAAATATTAAGAGGAAAAAGATGCTACAAGACAGGGATGTCAAACTTAAGATATGAATTCAATGTATTTAACACAGTAATATGTAATGCAGTAGCATTGATAGTATACTGACATTTTGGTTTCTAAAGTTTGAAAGCATTAGATCACTTGGAAGGATTTTATTCCGCTAACAGCCCTACTTATGCATAATGTGTAAAAAAAAAATTATAAAAGCAAAAATGTTCATAAATTGAAGAACACTATACTGTAATTAACGCAGTGGTTTCACTGTTATCAGAGACGACAGAAAGTAGTGCAGAGGAAACATCAGCTAAACCAGCAAGATCAAGATAAAAGTCCTGCTTCTGAAACTAATCGGCCAAACAGGAAAGCTTACTGGATGAATACAATATAAAAAACATACTGAATGAAAAAAAAAAAAAAAAAAAATATTGCAATTTCTCACAATACTGACTTTTCACAAGTGCTTTTTCCCTCAGAAATGCATGATATAAACTCACAATTCTGACTTTTTTCTCAGAATTATTGCGAGTTAAAGTCAGAATTGTGAGATAAAAAGTAGATTTTTTTTTTTCAGTGGCAGAAACTGATTTCCATATAGATCCTCCCATGTTAATACTGAAATCCATCACAAAATAAAACTGTCAACTTAAGATTTCTTCTTGTAATGTTTTTAAGCTCACTACATAATTACCTATTTGCCAGATTTCCAAAAGCAAGTTTGTTTTTATCCATTTTTAAAATGTGGTAAACCAGTTTGTAATTCTGATAATACTGTAATTTAAATAATACCAGTTTGCAATAAAGTCAGCATAACAGACTGTTTTTGTACAGCTAAAATAACAAAGTCAATGACACTAGACGCGTCACTCATTCAAGCAACAAACTGCCACCCCGCTCTTACTTTAAAAGGTGCTGAATGTAATTTGTTTGATTGTACTAAAGCAGGGATCCTCAAATCTGGCCCACGAGATCCACTTTCCTGCAGAGTTTCGCTCTAACCCTAATCAAACACACCTGAGCATGCTAATCAATGTCTTCAGGATCATTAGAAAATCACAGGTAGGTGAGTTTGGTCAGGGTTGGAGCTAAACTCTGCAGCGCATTGGCCCTCCAGGGCAAGATTTGAGGAACCCTGTACTAAAGCATAATATCATAGCATGTTTCTTAAATATCTAAAAGCATATTGAATTCACATACTTGTTTCTTTGAAAATCAATGCTGCAGCCAGTTATTTTACTTTGAAATGTGCTTTCAGTGTCGAATGTCTGTTTTTGTTTTGGTCTGTGTGACTCCGCCCACTGCCAATTCACCCAATAGTATTTCGACACACCGGGTTGCCAATTGGTGGAAAACAGAGCATATTGCAGCAAAGAAAGCCAGTAAACGAACTGGGTCAGAGATCACAGATTCTACCAGACCTAAAAATCTGGCAACCCCTGTGAGGGTGGAGTCTGAGGAGGAGGGGGCGGGAGAATCAACATTTTCCAATATTTTGAATTTGGACTGCAGTACTGTATTCAACCACTAGCTGTCAATATAACATACTGCACCTTTAAAAATAAGAAGGATAAGCTATTAGATTTCAGAATTAAAAATGGTGAGCAGAAAAAGTTTTGTATATTTACTCATGTTATATATTTGTTCATAACCGTGTGAATTGAATCAGGATGTCTGATCAGTGAGTTTAAGGGGGTTTGTGATTATATCTTGCAGGTCTGTGGGCTGTGGTCAACAATGCTGGTATCTCCACATTCGGTGAGGTGGAGTTCACAACCATGGACACATATAAGCAGGTTTCAGAGGTCAACCTGTGGGGCACCATCAGAGTAACCAAAGCCTTCCTGCCTCTCATCCGCAGGGCTAAAGGTAAAGTAATGAACACTCCATGCAGTCCAAGGCCCCGTCCACACGGAGACGCGTTTAGCTGTATACGCATACATTTTGTATCGTATAGGCGACAGATATTTCTTGAGACGAGAAAAAAAATAAATAAATAAAAAATCGGATAGAGAAAGCTCTGGCTTCGTGTGGACGTAGCCCAAGTGTGTCTTCCTGCTGTCGACCTACTTGGAGAATGTTGCAGGCCTTTTGGTTGTGATGAACTTGTGGGTATAGATAATATGTAATTTGGCTGAGTTTAACTGAAGAGTTTATTTTGCAGACAGATGTTAATGTTTCTCTACAGTTTCCACTCCTGCAAGTCTTTCACTGAATTAAAGGAATGTTTGGATCTGAATGGATCAATGGTTAAAGCAAATGGACTTTGGAGTGTATTGCCTGACAAACACTTGTGATTTCCGTGATTCAGTGTTTTCAGTGAATTTTTGTTATTTTTATTTTTTTTAAGTATATTTTTATGATATGATTTTGACATCGGAGCTTCATAATTTCAAAAAAATATATATATTTTTTTTTTTAAATGTATATATTTTAATAGATTTCTTTCCATATTCAAAGGAATTTAATGGATTACATACAGTAAAAAAAAAAAGCACAAAGATTAACACACATTACAAATAAAAAGTTTTTCTTTTTTTTTTTTTTTACAAACTGTCAAAACTGTTTGTGTTCAGCAGTACTCAACAGTTTAATTAGTTTAAACATTTAAATGTTATTTGTGACCCAGAACCACAAAACCAGTCATAAGGGTCAATTTTTTGAAATTGAGATTTATACATCATCTGAAAGCTGAATAACTAAGTTCTTAGCAATGCATATTACTAATACAAATTTAAGTTGATATATTTATGGTAGAAAATTTACAAAATATCTTCACAGAACATGATCTTTACTAAATATCCTAATGATCTTTGGCATAAAAAAAAAATCTATAATTTTGACCCATACAGTGTATTTTTGGCTATTGCTACAAATATACCCCAGCGACTTAAGACTGCTTTTGTGCTCCAGGGTCACATTTTATGAACCTCACTTGTATGTAATATATAAACGAATACATTACCATTTAAAAGTTTGCAGTCAGTTAGATTTTTATTTATAATGTTACAGAAGATTTCTGTAAGGATGTTCTTTTGAACTTCCTATTCATCAAAGAATCCTAAAAAGAAATGCATCATGGTTTCCACAAAAAATATGAAGTGGCACAACGGTTTGTAACATTGATAATAATCAGGGGCCTCATTTATAACCGTTGCGTACGCACAAAACCTGCCCTGAAAGAGGCATACACCACTTCCTACGCAAAAGGTGGGATTTATAAAAAACAAACCTGATGGGAAAATTTGCGCACCTGCACGCAAACTCTGACCCATGCGTACAGACTTTTTTTCTGGAGAGAGAAAAGTAATGTAGTAAACAACGATTTTAAACCGTTTTCATTTCATCATATACATTTACATTAAATATTCCACTCTCATTAATGGAGATAAGCACTGAAATTACATGGTCATTACGTAGAAGTTAAACCACAATGATATGAATTTAGACATAGCCTATTTGTAATGGATGCGCTCGATTACTTTTCCTGTGGTATGTTATGTTTTAATGACAGCGAAGAGTACTATAGGTGCGCAATAATTTCTTTAAACTAAACTGCACATCTCATGTTATGAGAAAGTATTTTTAGCGAGAACAATGATGCGCACTTACTTCGATATTGTGGCGGACACGGCTGGATTCGGTGGAACGGTCTATTGTCCGGTTTGAATAGGTCCAATGATAATAGCTTACTGTACAACCACAGCTGCACAGAGGTGTTGATGTCGTGTGAAGGCATCTCCACAACATTATGAAAAATACCACTGTATGTGAAAGATACAACTTGAAGAAAATGGTAAGATTTGCACGTTTCCTTTTTAAAATACTTTGTCAATGACGCGCAGAGTCAGATAATTGGATTTGCACTGCAATAAATATAGGCCTATATTTTTCCACTAAAAATAGCTAAAAGAGGTTCACCTTATCAGCAAAACTGCATTAAATTTAATTAGATTTTTTTTTTAAACAATTGAAATATTATTTGGTCAGTGGAAATGAATGAGATCAACTCCGTTCTCAGAAAAATTATTTAGAATAATTTTAAACCGTTTTCTTTATGGATATTTTGATATTTATTCTAAAACAAAGATACTGGATGATTTTTAGCAATAAAAATGAATGTGTATGGCACAAATGGTGACATGTCCGGTTCACTTAGTTGTGTCGTGGCCACGAGATATTAAATTGAGGGAACGCAGGTTTGTTTATGCATGGCCACGAGAAAAATGTCGTTCCCTCTACATAGCATAGCACTATATACATTTATAGTCCGTATCTCATATTTCCTTCTTGTACCTTTGACTGTGTTAAACATGGTGTCACGTGGATAGGATTATGCATAGAAATGATATGCAGATGAGGTTATGCGTAGTAAAACTAGGCGTTGGAAGCTTCATATATGGTGATTTGGGGGAGGAGTCGGGGTGGAGATGCACGTACGCACAATCTTCCCCTGACTGGGATTTATGAAGGGATTTTTGCGCAGGTTCTGGCGTACGCATGGTTTTATAAATCTGAAAACTTTTGGGTGTACGCAAAACTAGCATTTGTGCCTACGTACACTTTAGGATGAAATCTACGGAGAGCTTTATAAATGAGACCCCAGAAATTTTCTTGAGCAGCAAATCAGCATATTAGAATGATTTCTGAAGATCATGTGACACTGAAGACTGGAGTAATGATGCTGAAAATTCAGCTGCACATCACAGAAATAAATGACATTTTAAAATATATTCAAATAGAAAACCGTTGTTTTAATTTGTAATAATATTTGACTTTTTGTCTTTTGGTCACAGGTCGTGTGGTGAACATCGCCAGCATGTACGGCAGAATGGGAAACGCTCTCCGATCCCCTTACTGTGTATCCAAATACGGAGTGGAGGCTTTTTCTGACTGTCTCAGGTATGAAATGAAGGTTTGGAGCGTCAAAGTTTCCGTCGTTGAGCCAGGAAACTTTATCGTGGCCACGGGTATCCTGACACGTGACATAGTCACGACAACAGCAGAGAAGCTCTGGAAGGAGGCGCCCCCTGGTGTCCAGGAGGACTATGGGAAAGCTCACTTTGAGCAGTACATGGCTCTCATGCGCTCCTACTGCAACAGCGGCCAGCGGGAGATCGAGCCGGTTTTAGACGACGTCACAGATGCAATCACGTCCAAACGGCCATACAAACGGTACAACCCCATGGAGCCGCACTGGTGGATCCGCATGCAAATAATGACCCACCTTCCTGCGGCCATCTCAGACAGACTCTACTTCTAATGAGATGCCAACTTCCAATACGTTCGTCACCGGGTGAATCAATGAATTAATATATGCCATATTGAACAATCAAATTAGTATACAATCTTTAAAATTAAAAAAATTAAAAAAAAATTAAATAAAGAGAATTAGCATACAATCTTAAATTTGAAAAAATAAAAATAAAATCACACAAATCTCAAAGGAATATTCTAGGTAAAATACAAGTAAAACTATGTGTGATACCACAGGAAATAAGATCAACATAAGACAAGTCAACATTATTTTGTCCAAAATATTCCCTTAAAGGGATAGTTCACCCAAAAATGAAAATTTGCTGTTCATTTCCTCATCCTCAGGTCATCCAAGATGTAGGTGACTATTTTTCTTCAGTATAACAGTAAAGAAGATTTTTAGCTGAAACCGTGGTCCTTGGTGATTCATAAAATTCAAGTCACCAGCTGCTGTCACTTTGAGAGTCAAAAAAAACCATATACAGGCAAGATCAAATTAATACCAGTTGCTCCTGATAATAGATTGAGGTCTTATGAAGCAAAACAATCAATTTGTGCAAGAAACTAAACATTATGGTTATTATTATCATCAACATTACGTGTAACCCAGAGCCTCAGGCACTCTGGTCATGTTCAGTTTCTTGCACAGACTGATTGTTTCGCTTCATAAGATTTCAATATATATTGTCAGGAGCCACTGGTATTAATTGTGTTCCTATATGGTTTTTGTGACTGTCAAAGTACCGGTAGCTGTTAACTCGCATTTAATGAATCACCAAGGACCACAGTTTCAGCTAAAAATCTTCTTTAAAAAAAAAGAAGATAAAAAAAAGAAGGCTAAGTAAATTCACAGCAAATTTTCATTTTTGGGTGAACTATACCTTTAAGTTTGAATGTATGCACTTTGATTCACTTTATCGTATTTTAGGCTCATTAATGGTTAAGTATTCTGGAAATGTGAACACTTTTCAGTATTTTGATTTGGTCACGCAGACATTTCCATAGAGCGATCACGAATCACCAGAGGCCTGAAGCCAGAAGCAGTGAAAAGCAGCATTATACAGCGCGTCCCGGCTGGCTGCTGATGTGGCAGATGTCTTCGTGTGGCTCTTTTCATTGAAAGGATGAAACCACAAATGAACAAAAGAGGACGCCTGTGGTTCTGTCACTGCTTTCTTAGGAGAAACAATAAGAGTGAGGGGCTTAAAGAGTTATAGGGTCAACACATATTCCCTTATGAGCATTCCCTTTATGAGCGTTTCTTCCAAGAATCTGAATGATTCAGTTTTGAGGTATTATGGGATCACTTGCCATCCACTGTAACAAATTTTGTGCTGAAACATTCTGAGTGTTGAAATTAACAATGTATACAAATGCATCATCCCAATTTGCTGGTTTGTAAGAATAATAAGAACGGTAAAAAGGACCACATTATACATTTCTGAACCAGAACCCATTTAAATGTGCTTGGAAGCATTAAAGCCTCTACATAAATTTATTACTTTTTTTATTATAACTTTTTTTTTTAAAAATTTTAAATTTAAGGATTAGACAATTAACAACTGCTGTGGCAGTTTCAGCCTTGCATTGCATGCTTATTTAAATGATTGAAAATTCGTTAGAGAATTGTCACAAACCACTACTCTTTCCGTAGTGCAAGGGCTAATAGGCATTATTAGCCTAAACACCTCATATATACACTGAAAAAAAAAAGATACTACATTTTAAGGTAAGTGGTTGCAAACTATTTATTTTAGCTACATTTTAAAAAAAAAAAGTTGAAAGTTAGTCAACTGAATTTGTTTATTTAAATGTAGCTAAAATAAATTGATTGCAATCACTTACCTTAAAAAAATGTTAGTAAATTCAATGAATCATTTTTTTTTTCAGTGTAGTATGGCATTTGGAAACACTAGGATTTGGGATTCACTAATGCTGATTTTACGAACTATATACAGTAGGATGGATTGCATGAGAACAGGAATGACATGTTGGCCACCAGAGAGAGCAGTTGAGTTGGCATCTGTAGCCATCAACCTCTTTCAAAAGAAAAACACTAACAGTTTTATCAAATAGTCTATCAAGTTATGTCTTTGCTCTCTCTACACATAATGTAATTGCCTAATAAGGACCAAGTGTTTGCATGGCTTTCTTGATTTCTTGTGAATATGAAAACCAGTAAAGTGTGTGCAAGTTTCTGGACATTCTACAAGATTAGTTGAGAAACTTTAATTACAGTTTGCCTTATATTTAATATAACTTACTGTATGTTGCAACACGATAATACAGTATGCACAGCATTCACATCGAATATTTTAGGGATTTTCACTGGCTTTGGTTGTGAAATCATGGGGAGTACATTTATGTATTTAGGGAACTATGCAGACGCAAGTAATTTCGCTCGTAATGGTCACGCGGTTCCCCTGCTGTTCTCTATCAAGTCCTTTCTCTTCCTATAGCTGACATGTTTCACATTGTTTCAGTATGAATATTGCCCGTTTCTTGTCTTAATTGTCTCACGCACAGCATGTGTAAAATCATTATGATTCCCAGCAGGTCTTCATTAAATGCCAGCAATATCATTTCCATAGCAGTGGAACACAAAGTCATGCAGGATTACTTATTTCAAATGACATTTACTCATTAAGCCTTTATATATAGATTTAACCTCTGAAATTGTGACACCGCATTTATGCTCTGGATGATATTAAAGAGATGTCAAAATAGATTGATGTAGTTTATTTCTTCCTTTGTACAGTCTAAACTCTTTATGGAGACAGTGAGCATACAACTACATTTGATTTTCACAGCACCTCCAGCCCCATTTACAGAAACGGTTCACTCATAGTTCAGACAAAATGAGGTTACTCAATAAAACTGGTCAATTCAGCCCACACCATCAACTATGCATGTTTTTCAGTAGAGGATCTAAGGGCCTGAATTCAGAACTCATTCTTTTGTAACAAAATTAAGTTCATAAAGGCAATGCTTTCTCAAGTATTCCTTTTCTCAGATAGCTTGAATAAAAATCCAAAGGGTAGATGGAGAAATGTACTTCCCAATATTCCAGGTTTCAGTAACTATTGGAGATAAAATGTTGGCAAATTAGCCAAAACCTAGTACAGATGTGTTACAATGCTACATAATTCAAAGCATTGTCCAAGTTTGGATGTCTAAACAGCTCAAATCACGTACCACATGTTCCCAAAAGTAAGGACAGAAAATCTATTTGGTCACAACTTGGAGAAAAAAAAATGCTAATGAAGTCTACATGATTGATAACAACAATACCTCTTTCAATTTCTAGGTACCTCATAAGCTGACAGGTATACTCTTATATCCAGCACAAATACTAATAGGTAACCATGTTTGCTGGGCCTGCTTACCTTAGTCAAGAGTAGATGCAATATTTGACGCAAATTAAAGATGTGAAGCAAAGATTTAGTTTTGTTGCCAACTGAAGGGTGTCCAATTCTGCTCTTAGATCGGTTCCCAATCCTGGTCCTGGAGAACTCCCAACACTGCACATTTTAGATGTCTCTCTAATCAAACACACCTGATTCAGCCCATCAGCTCGTTAATAAAGACACCAAGACAGGGGGTGCCCAAACTCGGTCCTGGAGGGCCGGTGTCCTGAAGAGTTTAGCTCCAACTTGCCTCAACACACCTGCCTTTAAGTTTCTAGTATGCCTAGTAAGAGCTTAATTAGCTGGTTCAGGTGTGTTTAATTAGGGTTGGAGCTAAACTCTGTGGGACACCGGCCCTCCAGGACCGAGTTTGGACA